TGATCCCCAATACTTCAAAAGAAAACAATTATACTTTAAAAAAACATAAACAGGGGGCTGAGGATGTGGCTCAAGCGGTAGCGCGCTTGCCTGGCATGCGTGCGGCCCGGGTTCGATCCACAGCACCACATACAAACAAAGATGTTGTGTCCGCCAAATACTAAAAAATAAATATTAAAATTCTCTCTCTCTCTCCTTCTCTCTCCCCCTCTCTCCCTCTCTCTCCCTGTCTCTCCCTCTCTCTTAAAAAAAATAAACAGTTATAAATACTTCAAGAAACAAATTGAGAAATCAAAAATATTTCCCTGAATTGTCCAAAATTTCAAAATACCATGAAGATCATGCAGCATACATCTGCTCCTTGAAGGAATTAAAGAGGTTAACATTTGAGAAGTGTTTTATTTTAGTTACCTGATTACTGTTTATATTTAGTTAAATTCCTCTCACCTTAAGCCTATTAAATATATATACAATATTATACAAGATTTTAATGTACCACAGGTGCACAAAATTGCAATAACAATTTTTTTCTAATTAGAAAAATGAAATCATTCCATTTCATGGAAGAAATATTGTCATATATAAACACACATCATATATCTGTATATGTATATATACTCATTGTAGATAGATATGAATGTTTGGTATGTGTATATGAATGCTTGGTACTTATGTCTACTATAAAGCATGTATGGTTTTAACCTGTTTATTTATTTATTCTGATTACAGGCAATATAGTAAAGGGTAGATGAACTGAGTTGGGAGCTCAAAGCTCTGCAGTTTAATTCACATCAAATTTATATGTAATTCCATAAATCTTAGTTTTTCCAAAGTTCTAAAGGACTCTACAATTCTAACTGTAATTTTTTAATTATAAAAAATAATTTTATAAGTTTTTTGTGTTATTTTATTTTTTAAAAAGGATGTATTAATGTATAATTTACATACAATTAAATTACACAATACCATGAATGTTGACACACACACACACACACACACACACACACACACACACACACACACATATATATATATATATACATAAATGCCACTTCAGTCAAGACAGAGAACATTTCCATCACCATTAAAAGTGTTCTTGTGCCCTTTTACAGTCAGTCCCACCTACCACAACCCAGTTCCAGGCTCTTGCAAGGAAAGATTAGAATTGTTTATTCTAGAATTTCATATACTGGAGTAATATAGTGTGTGCTCTTCTGTGTCTTGCTTCTTTTTCTCTCAGTTTATTTTTCAGGTTCATACATGTTATTGCAAAGAAAAGTAGTTTATTCTTTCTTATTTTTTTGAATTACTGACCCATTATATATTAAATAATGATAAAAACAATAATACAGAGATCTCCTGGTTTTTTTCAAAGTTTTTTTTTTCAATTTATTTAGTATAGCATAAAAATGTTGTGCATAGGGGACTCCCTGTTGATTACTAATTTTTCTCTTAAGCTATAAGTTGGATCTACAGACCTAAGATTTGAAGATACTACTAACCATCTGATCAGTATGGTTCTAATATGGGTACTGAACTTTAATAAAAGGGACAGGTGATATTGCAAATATGGAGGAACAGGGGGTCCATACTGTAGTCCACAGGCTTCATCTGCCTCCTTGCTGGGAGTGTTGCTTGCTAAGAGCTGGGTATGGACCTAAAAAGAGAGGAACCATGCACTCTTGAAATATACAACTGTACATTGAGAAGGGTCATGCAGCAACTGAGAACTGGGTTTGGGAAGAAGGCTAGACCCAAAATCATGCCAAAATCATAATACCTGAGGTATGATTTTGCAGGGTTTGTTATAATTTCAAATATCATCAATTTCTGTACACAATCTATAAGTAACTAGGCAAGTTTAAGATTTTATATAACTTCCAGCTCTAGAGGAGTAGAGATATTCCGCTGGGTAATTGGAAAAAATGCAAGTAAGTCTGTTTAATCTTTGTCTGCCCTTTTAATTTAGATTTTCCTAGCTGTTCCTCTGTGCTTTCTCATTGCATTAAGTTATTGGATTAAGCATTTCCAGCTATTTGTCTGCTTTCCATTTCTCTGCATTGCATCTTTCTAACTATTCTTATGATACTTTCTGTTCTTTTCTGCTACAGTCAATTCCTAAAAATTTTCATTACTAAAATTCATGAGCTATGCAAAATTACCCCGCCCCCCCATATGGTTATGGCAACAAACATCCTACTTGCTATTTCTATAAACTCATCTATTCCACATATGATTTCAAACCATCATACGGTATGTGATAATTTTATGCTATTTTATTCATAGATTTAAAAATTTTAAACTCTCATACATGGCTAATGGAAGAAATGGGGTTTATAGCACCAAACTTAAACCTTTTAACACATAAAAAGGAGAGAAAAAATGGAAAGGAGATGAGTAAATTAGAGTAAGTGGATTGGGGAAGGGAAGAGATAAGTCAAAGGGAAGCATTGGGGAATGGGGTTGATCAAATTATGTTGTGTGCATGTATGAATATGACAGAATGGATTCCACTATTATGTATAAGTATAGTGTACCAATAAAAATGGTAGACAGTTTTACACCTATTAAGTGATTCAGAATCATATAAATATTAAGATAGATATAGCTCTTTACCTTGAAAAAGATCTGAACTTTCTTTGAAGAAGTGTCAGAATAATTTAAGACTTTTATTTATTGCGAATTCGTAAACAAAATATCTAAGGTCAGCAGAAATTTGTAACACAGATAAGGATGGTAAATTACACCACCCCCAGGGAACTGAGGTCAATTGGTGTTAAATACTTGGGGGAGATGCATGTGTGCATTTGATATGTTCCTACTTGGCTTATTTCAGCTAGGTGCCATTTCCTGTGTTTAGCCAATGCTTCTCAGGAACAAAATTGCAACAGTAGAACTCAACATTTATATTACGTTCAAATTGTTTCCTGATAATATCCATAATATTGGAACAAATTCATGTTGCTAAGCAAACATTATAGCAGATTAACTGTACTGTCTTTGTCCTTTCTCCATAGTTTCCTATATCCACTTGGTTGTCGGTTTCTTCACAGAAGTAATTTATTCCCAATTGTTGTACTACTCTCACCACAAACCTGCTCCCACACAGCTGTTCTATGGAAGGTTCATCTTTTACATTTTTAATTGACAAGTGATCATTGTATCTACTTTCAAGATAATTATCAAATGGTGTACCACAGTACTTACTATTTTGTTGTGGTGAGAATATTTAACATCTACCCTATTAGCAATTTTGAAATATGTGCTACACTGAACCCCACTCCTTCTAACTGAAACTTTGTATCCTCTGATGAGCAACCTCCCCTTTTCTCATCCTACACCTATCTCCTGCCCTTGTTACATAATTCCACTCTCTATTTCCATAAATATGACTGTATTAGATTCTGCATGTTAGTGAGATCAGGACTTTTCTCTGTGCCTGACTTAGTTCACTTAGCAGAATGTCCTCTAGGTTGATTCATGTTGTAAAAAAAATGGCAATTTTCTTCTTTTATAAGGCTGACTAGTTTCTATTAGTGTGGACACCAACTTTCCTTTATCCATCCATCAGTCAATGAACCCATAGGTTGGCTCCCCAGGTTGGCCACTGTTGTTGCAGTGAATATGCCAGTGAAGATATTTCTGTGACATTGATTTTGATTCTTTGGTTACACATCCAGGCATGAGATTGTTGAATCACCGTGTTATTTCAATTTTTAGGTTGTTGATTTTTTTAAGGCACTTCCTTACTGATTTCTAAAATGTTTGTGCTAATTTACATTGCCACCAACAGTACACAAGAATTCCATTCAGTTCACATTCTTGCCAACATTATCTTTTGACTTTTTGATGATAACCATTCTAGTAAGGATGAGATGCTATCTCATTAAGGTTTCAATTTGCATTTCTCTTATTTTTTATTTTATTTTTTATTGGTTCTTTTTAGTTACAAATGATAGTAGAATCCATTTTGATAAAAAACTATACAAGCATGGAAGTTATCTTATTCAAATTAGGACCCCACTCTTGTGGATGTGCAGGATAGTAGGATTCACTGTGGTATATTCATGTATGTACAAAGGGAAGTTATGTCAGATTCATTCCACTTTCTTTCCTTTTCCTATCCCTACTCCCTTCTCTTCATTCCCGTTTGTCTCATCTATTGAATTTGTGAAGTTGAACATTCTTTTCACTTATCTTCTGACCTTTCGTATGTCTTCTTTTGAGTAATGTCTTTTCAGGTGCTTTGCCATTTTGTAATAGGATTATTTGCTTGTTTGCTGTTGAGTTTGATTTCCTATATGTTTTGGATACTAGTCTGTACTGAACACTTGTGAAGACAGGGGTCCACTGGCTTCTGGAGGGCCCTTTCTAAAAGTAGAAATGTCAGTCTCAAAGTTTTTAACCCTTTTAACTTCCCTCTTGTGGATCATGTGCACACATAATATTTGTTACTAACAATACACAAATCAAGACTGCTATACAATTTTCCCCATGTGGTCAGAATCACCATTTCCAAAAAAATATCATCTATGTTCTTTTTCTGTGTGTCATTCAAAGTAAGTTTTGGAAATTCACAAAGGATTTTGAATAAAAATTTAAAATATTACAGTTTCTGTGTCCCTACCTATTAAAAATAATATATTATTATCTCAATAAAATATATATTAATAATAAGTATATAATTATTGTTACTATAAAAAGCCAGTTATTTATTACATGTGATTTGTGCTACTTTATATATGTATACAAACACAAGTATATACACACAAATATATATGTATACATATGTAGTCAAATGCTTCTGTTCACCTTTTTGAAATTTACTGATTTACCTTCATATTTTAATATCAATTAACTATTTTCTCAGAAACTTGCTTTTTCTCCAAAACTTCTTGTCAGTATGAAAGCTGTATCAATTTCACTATTTAATTGCATTTTTTTTTAAAATTTGAGGATAAAGAACATCCTAAGTGCCCTATCTTGTTCTATTTCTGCAGCGTTTGTCAAATGGCTCTATAGACTCAACAGATGAAACCAGTCAAATAGTTGAACTACAAGAATTGCTTGAAAAGCAAAACTATGAAATGGCCCAAATGAAAGAACGTTTAGCAGCCCTTTCTTCCCGAGTGGGAGAGGTGGAACAGGAAGCAGAGACTGCAAGAAAAGATCTCATTAAAACAGAAGAAATGAACACTAAATATCAAAGGGACATTCGGGAGGTAAGTGATTCATAACACTCTTGGTCTTTGCTTCCTGAACGCTGCCTCTGGGAAGCTATTTCCATAATTTCCTCTAATGGTGTGAAATCTTTACTTCTCAAAAGACCATAATTTGGGTCACATTATATTAGTTATGTACTTGTTCAGCAAAGCAAAAATAGTTTACTTCATCAACAACACTTTAAATATGTATGGAAGGAAATTTGGGGTGTCAAGTCTCAGATACAATAAAGACTTTTTGAAGCTTTAATGAATTTTTAAAAATCCAGGCTTTTAATTTTAAATAACTGTGTGTGGGAATGAATCACGACTTTCTATAATCTTAGCATTTAAGAATACTCAAAGACGTTACTTTAAATCATTCCCTCTTATTTTGGTTCTGTGTCTATGAATGTGAAGTAAATGTGTGAATGTTATACATATGTATAACATAACCTTTCTTTTTCTCTATATATTCAGTTCTTGCTGGAATTAACATTGCTTTATCATTGACAAAAAAGAAAGAACTTTAAAGTTACTACAAAAGATACAAGGAAATGTTTTATTTGTAACACTGCCAAATCATCCTACCTGCTAACGTCGAAGTTTAGAATCAATTATTTTCTCTCAATTGAAAAGAAAATTATTTCTCTCTCTGTGAAAGACTTTTGTGACTTTTACCCTCTTCTATTTTTTCATACTCTTTTAAATCATGCATTTTTATCTTTTTATATTGTTTGTAGGTGCTTAACCAGTTGTTAATGTAGTGACTCTATTCTCTGTACTTAATTCTCTTTCCCCCATTCTCTCTTGGACCCATTTCACCATACTTATGACTCCATGGTCCATAAAAACTGCCCTTATAAAAGTTTCTATTGACCTCTGTATTACTGAGTGAAGGGGGTCAGTTCTCAGTACTTTGAATCACTTTATCACCTTACCACTCTTCCTTCTCTAGAGCATGTCATCACTGAACTAAAAAAACACTGCTTTCTCCTGAATTTCTTCCATATTTACTCCCTGTCCTCATCTCAAGAGTCCTTTACTGGGTCCTTTCCCTACCCAACCTCAGAATGCCTTCCCTTCTCAATCCACCCTAGTAAATTCACGTTAGTCTCATGACTCCAAAACCCTCCATGGCCTTCTGACTCCCACTTTGTATCTCCAGCTGGTCTTGCTTTCCTGATTTCCAGGTGATTGTATAGAATTCTAAGTGGTGTCACAAAATTAACATCTTCAAAACTGTTTTCTTGCTATTTCCCCGACACACCTGACTCACCTGCTGTCTTACATGCCCATCGTTGTTGTTGCTCTTGCGGAAAGTCTCGGAGCTGTCCCTGGTATCCCTCTTTGATGCAGACACTATTGTTTGCATCAGTGATAAATACTAATACCTCTAAATTCCCAATATATCCATTATATGACCTCTTCTCACAACTGCCATGGCTCTTCCTTGTTCCACACGAATACTTTCTCCCATGGATTATTATAATAGTGTCTTTTCTGGTCTTCCTGCTTCAGACTTTGGCTCACCTTAGTCTATACCCCATAACCAAAGTAGCCTGCTTATGCATTAGCTCATGTTATGTTTCTGCTTAAAATTCTTCAATGGTTACCTTTTTCACTTATAGTGATATCAAAATCCTTAAAGTGGCCTAAAAGACATGTACAGTCTCTGTTACCTCCCTGCTGACCTTTTGTAGTTCATCCCTTCTGTCATTCTAGCCCACTCATTAAAGGTGACCTCTTCTGCAAGCAGCACTTATTAAGTTGCATCTTCTTATCACCCTGCCTTTTGCTCAAATGTTGTCGTCTCAAGGAAGTATTCTCTTACCTTGCTATTTACACATACACTCCCTCTTTTTTTTCATTTATTTATCCCACAGCACTTCCTCTTCCTGGCACAATATACATTTTACAGATTTGCTTGTACATCATCTGACTCCTTCCATGACTATACATAAAGATGCTTGAGGACTGGGAGTTTTGTTTTGCTTTGCTCACTGCTCTCTTCCTACTTTGTACACAACTAGTAAGCATAATAGGTACCCAAAAACACCTTTGCTAAGAGCACTGACACTTATAGGTTTATATAATAAGTAAATGTCAGAATCCATGGATGGGGTTAGAATATGCACTAAAACATTAACTACTGTTTCTGAAAGAGATGATCTGTGAAGCGGTAGATTCACTCCAGCTCAGGTGATACAACTTTATATAAATCAATACTCCATGGATACCTGTCTCCTTTTAATTCCTTCCTACAACCCAAAGTCAGGGAATTTATAAAGTAGATGAAGTTTAACCTCTCTTCTATACCACCTTTGAGGAATCACTAGGATTTCTTTCTTTGAAATCACCAGGTCTATTTCTTGAACTGTTTCTCATTCTGATATTTCTTATTCTCTTGGTTCCAGAGGTTTAAGTATTTCCCTTTCATTGTAGCACTTACATATCCAATTTGTGCTTACCTAATCTAGTGTCACCTCAGAAAGAGCGTGATACCTCTAGCTCCCCTTTTTTTGTCACCCATTTAAAAATAAGTCCTTAGTATGAATAGTCTCTGAATGTAGGTGACAGAGAGCCCAGTTAGAGGAAAGACATCAATCCTCTAATGCCAGGTGTTCCTTTATTAGGAATTTCTTCTAATTGATGCAGTGGTTTCCTTTCACAGGAAATTCTTCTAAAACAGAATTACTCTTTTTCAGCTCAAAGAGTTCCAGGAAAGAAAAAAAATCTTGTCATCCCTCTTTGAGTTGAGATTGCAAACACAAATGTTTTCAGAGCCATGTAGGCAATAAAAATGTGTGAAATGCCAGGTGCAAGACAGTAGGAGGTGACAGTGTTGAGAAGACCAGTGAGCTGAGCAGAGCCCATTGACAGGCTGCCTTTTTGGATTCATTAGGCCTTTTGTGTGCACTTACACACACACACACACACACACACACACACACACACGGCACTCAGGCTACTGTGAAGGGTAACTAAAATATGTCTGAAAGGTTTACTTCTCAAGTCCCACAGCCCTAGTTTAATAAGGACTTCAGAAGGACCAACCACCTGTGAAATCGATTACTAGTACATTATATTTGATTTCTCTAATTTCCCATGAACTACCTGTGGAAAAGTTCTTATTACCCTCACTTTTCCCAGATGAGGACCCTAAGGCTTAGTGAGATAAAGTGACTGGCCCAAGGCCTCCGTACCACCCTCCCACTCTAGCTCTAAGAAATAGCATCAGCCTGGCTTCAAAACTTGTGTTTTCCCATTATGAACTTCTTCCACAATCAACACAAAATAACACTTTATTCAATGATAGCAGCTATTGTAAAAAATGCAGCCTCACTGTAACTTCTACCTACCTAATTAATGTTTTAGTCATTCTGGTTAATAAAGGATATAAATGACTTCAGATAAATAAATGGGAGAAATTCGCATAAAATCTTGTATTACTTCCATAAAAAGAATGTCTTTACTTCAATAAAACCATACTTTTTTATGCCTTATAATTTTATTTACATAAAAACAACACATTAAGCTATCTGTGAATCTGATTTGATTTTTTAATCTTAATTATAGGCTATGGCACAGAAGGAAGACATGGAAGAAAGAATCACCACTCTTGAGAAGCGTTACCTCAGTGCTCAGAGAGAATCTACCTCCATACATGACATGAATGATAAACTGGAAAATGAGCTGGCAAATAAAGAAGCCATCCTACGGCAGGTTCAGTATCTCTGTCTTGGTTTTGTTCTGGTCCATGTGTGTGTTCTCACCATTCTCACAAAACACAGAGTAAATAAAATATAGTGAATCTTGGCAGATGATTGGCCAAACATGCTCTTACATCTAGAATAAAGCTAATGAAAAGCAAAATGTGATTTCCAGTATACCGTTCACTTGTTAGAAAAATAAAATTGTCTTTATAATGATAAAAAATAATTAACATTATTGACTTTTAATCTGCATGTTAATCAGAAATTGTGCTAAACCGTTTACATGTTTGTATGATTTTATTCTAACTACCACCTCTGAAGTAGAAATGGTTTTTACACTGAATACACGAAGGAGCAAAGACATTAAAATTTCCCAATGTTACACATCTGGTAATGCCAGAACAATAATGAAGTCTATTGGGATCCAGGGCAAGAGTAGACAAACTATGGTCCATGGGCCAAATCTGTTTGGCTGCCTGCAATTGTAAATAAAGGTTTATTGGAACGCATCCATGTATAATAATTTAATCATGTTTATGACTGCTTTTGTGCTACAACAGCAGACTTGAGGAATTGGAACAGAAATCATTTGATACACAAAGCCAAAATATTTACTGTCAAGCTCTTTACAGAAAGCTTGTCAGTCTCATCTCTAGAGCCAGGACTCAATTCTCAAACTACATTCCCTGTCCCACTCCAGACTAATGGGGTGATTTTCCTCATTTGTTATCATGATACATCGGATGTCTTAATACTGAGTTGTATGCCATTTGTTCCAGCTTATACTCATTAGCAATTTCTTTTCTTTTTGCTGCCAAGGGTAAGAGATTTTCTATTGTTTTTAATATGATGAATTTTATTAAGGAAAATGGATAAGTAATACATGAAAGCATGATGATAATCATCACTTAGCACATGTAAGTGTGTTAGTGGCTGATTTTAAGTCTAGATTAATGAATGAAGTGTAAAGCCCATAATGACTATATTTGCTATATTAACTCTGACCCTTTAAGTGCCTCTTTTACCATTCTTATTTCAGATGGAAGAGAAAAACAGACAGCTACAAGAACGTCTCGAGCTGGCTGAACAAAAGTTGCAGCAGACTATGAGAAAAGCTGAAACCTTGCCTGAAGTAGAGGCTGAACTTGCTCAGAGAATTGCAGCCCTAACAAAGGTACCGCACTAAAACAATTAGTAGGTCCACCTGGATATGGGTGTAGCAACAATTGTCGCTCAAAATGGAATATATAAATATTTTCTTTAGGCCTTAGAAAGGTCAATTTTATTGATATTTATGGTGTTACTCTCTTATTTAATGATTTTTTTCTTATTGCATGTATCTTACTTATGCTGACATCAGTGACCATGGATACAAATGTAATAATAACTCTTTTGCCAACTTAAACATTAATAAAACAAACAATATTTCATTTTATTGTCATAGTTAATTTTCCATGGTAATATTTACACATAGATGGAGATAAACACTCAGTGATGTTAAATGTTTCAAATATATATACATGAGACATAACAATAGGCTTCACATAAGTTGTCATTAGAAGTTTACAAAATAAAATACAATGTTGATTTTTTTCACACTATAGTATGATAAAACTTGCTAGAAATTGGAAGTTATAATTATAGAAATCTGCAGGGAAAAAAATTAGATAGTAAAAAGTTATAGAAGTCTGAAAGGAAAAAACATTAGATAGCAAAAAAAGTGGTTTTTATACTTGTAAATTCTTCTGAAAATTAAAATTAATAATACTCTGAAGATATCAACATTTTCTGCCATACTTTGGCCAATAGATTCTACAACATCTTTATAGTTTAGAATTTTGAAAACTTTATAATAAAAAAAGAGTATTCTGACCCCTAACAGTCAAATGGAAATGGGTTACTTCAAACTGTACATACATGTCACTAGAAAAAAAATCCTGATTATTGTTATTAATAGCATGTTGGACTTTCGTTAGCCATTCAAAATTGTACAGACATTTTATATTTTCACACAATGATTGCTGTTTGCTATTTTTTTCAGGCCATAGCAATAAATGGGTACTATAGTTGTGTGACCTTTAAGTTTAAATTCTGACATTACAGGTTTTCCGAAGCAGTTGGTACAGAAATGGAAAAGGAGGCACACAAAACCTACTCTCTTGAGAAAGTAAATAGTTAAAGATGAACAGTCAGCTAATCTTCCTGTTTGTTAAAATAAGGAAGTTCACTGGGTAGTTAGATGGCAAACTTATCATTTAATTTGAAAATATTTCCTAAATTATATAAAGCTTTCCAAAATCCCATAAAGCTATCCAAACATATTATTATTTTTATATGTTTCTTGCAAATGCTTGTTTTAAATTTCTATAGCATGGATTAAGATTTGTAAACTTGGCTTTTTATTTGAGGAACATAAGTAACTTTCTTAAAGAGGTTTTTTTTTTTTTTTTTTTTTTTTTTTTTTTTTTTTTTTTTTCCTTTGGTACTAAGAATTAAACCCCAGGGTGCTTTACCATGGAACCACACCCCAAGTGCTTTTTCTATTTTATTTAGAGACAGGGACTTGCTGAGTTACTTAGGGCCTTGCTAAATTGCTGAGGATGACTTTGAACTTCCTGCCTCAGCCTCCTAAGCCACTTGGGTTACAAGTGTGCACCTCTGTGCCCACCTCATAAAGAGTTCTTAAATATCATTTAGAGGGGGGGAGGGAGATAAGTGAAGAAAAATAAGAACAAATAACTTTTTAAAAAGTTATTAGTGTATAATAGTACTACATTGATATTATCCTGACTAAAATACCGGAAAGTCAATAATCTTCCCCAAGGAAACAATTTAAATTGCCTCTGATTATTAAAGACTGATAATAGACAATAGTTTAAAATATAATATTTGAGTTACAGGGCAAAAATGTTCCTAAGAATTCTTTAGAATGAATATATATATATAGAGAGAATATATTGGATGTCTCATCCTTTTTTGTTCTCTCCTCTGTTAGACTTTTATTTTGATATATTATCTTGTGTACTCCAAATAATTTCCTTGGCTTACTCCTACCTAAAATATTGCCCAATGTCCACTTTCTCTGCATTCTTTTCCTTTTCTTATCTTTCAGAAAAATTTTAACCTTCTTAAAAATCTTATAAAGCTAGGGCTGGGGTTGTAGCTCAGTGGCAGAGCACTTGCCTAGCATGTGTGAGGCACTGGGTTTGATAACCACATATAGATAAATAATAAAAAATAAAGGTACATCAACAATTAAAAAAAAAATCTTCCAATGCTACAATTCCCTCTTCTCCTTTTTACTACCTTCTCTTCTGACTGGTTCTAAATCAACAACATATTTCAGATATGCAATTGTTATATTAATGACTTATTTTGGTATGTGAACTCCTTCAGTGCTGAAATTTTCTCCTGAACACATTTCACATGATAACATTTTTATAACATTGGAAGATCACTTTTTCATGTGTTTTCCCAAAGTTTATAGCTTCAATAGTCTTGCATTTTCTTGCCCTCTGTTCTCAATAGCTTTAGGGACTATCCCTATAACCTGCTTTATTATTTTTTTTTCAATTGCAGTTTATTTTCAGCCTCTCAGTATTATTGTTCATCATAGTCTCTTTTACAATTTCTTACTCTTTTGACTACTTACTAAAATAAAAATATTTTTGCCTAGCTTAGATGCAGGTTCCCCTCTGCTAATATTTTGAAGACTTTTAGCAATCCATCAGACATTTTATTTGACTGGTGTCTTTTTTTCTACTTTTATTACGTGCCAATCAGAATTCTTGATTAACTGCTATTCATAAAACCAAACTTGAGTTTTGGCAAGTTTATTCACAATGAACCTGAAATTAAAGATTTCAGGTTCCTAACCCTATGATTTTATACCTAATTCCTTAATTCAAATGCATATTTCCTCAGCAAGGACATAATTCATCTTGAGTTCATTTTTAATAACAATAAAAAGGATCAGATATAACATTGTAATTTAGACATGGCAGGAATCCATGTCTGAAGTGAATTTTCACAGTGTGTGGTATATGTTCAAAGTCAAGACAGGAACAGGTAGAAGTTCTAAAGACTTTCAGGACGTTTTAGAATCTTGTATTTTTGAATAGATAGTTTTGAAAGTTGAAATATTCATGTCATCTGATTAATTTCAATACCTCTAACTGCCTGTTAAAACATACTTTTGCAAGATTACATACAATTTAATAAACCTATATTATATAATTTCAACAAAATCTGAACTCATTAACTGTATTCTTAATAGAACTCTAAGCTTAAATGATATTTATAAAACTATTGTTTTTCCATTTGGGGACCATTGTAGCTTTCTGTGTTGTTTTTGCTCAGAAATTTGTGGAAGATGTGAAGAAAGAAATTGTTTATTTGTTATTTGTGCATGAGATTCCACATTTATGAGATAAAAATATCAGAAGGAAAATCTTACAAAATATGAATACTGAGTTATAATTTATATAAACATACCAAATTTGAAATATTAAAGGCTTATTACATAGATTAAATTGGAATTTGTTGCACAAAATAGTATAAATAAATATATATGAACTTGATACATGAATTGGTTACTATTTTATTTGCTGCATGACATACATATAGTCTTATATTGGCATAGAGTAAATTTTGTTATTTTAGAATGGACTTATATAAAATAAGATAATATAATCTGGAGTGAAAATTTATAGCCCTGAGAGAGGGTTGTGTTGATGTTATAATTACTTTACTTGCAATTGTGACTTAAATGTTGGTGTGATTTTCTATGTAATTTGTGCTTAACATACTAATACAATTCAGCTATCAGCAATGTCACATGTGTTAACACCCTGCACTCTGGTAACCTGACAAGTCACCTCCAAGGCATGTAACTAACCTTAGCACTGGGCAAACTTTAGCTCACAAAGACTCTGTGCTGCCTGTTCACTTTAGGGCACAATTTTGTTTCCATAGAAACAAATCTATGTAGAAAATTTTGTAGTGGTCCTTGGTGTCATTTTGGAAAGTTCACAAATAAATAGTCTTGTCCTCACAGCAATATTGACACCTTGATAATTTGAGGACTTTTAATAATTTTGAGTTTTTGAAATTTTGACTTTTCAATAATTTGAAATTTTAAAATTTCAACTTAGAGCTTTATCTGCGAATTTGGTTTTAGATGGATGACTATAATGTGCATTGGGAGACCAGAAGTTATCTTGTAAGTTGGCCTCCTGAGGTAACTAATTCCTGCTTCAATTGGGGAACACTCACGATATAATTTTCCCCATGGTTTAGGTTTGTCCCTGATGTCCAGATAATAGTGTTTATAGTAAATTTTGTTCCAAATGTATTACACCTGAATTACTGCCTTGCATATTCCACAGCATTTAGATACATTGTTATCATTATTTTAAGTAATGTGATAAACAAACCAAAATACAGCACTTTAACAATCTATCAGAGACATATTCTAGTGTTTGGTTTCCCATAAATCCAAATATTACATCACTTTTTCAGAGTTGCTTTAATTCATTCTGTAGTAGTCTTTCATTGGCAGCCATCACTAACCTTCCAAACCTTAGGTTCACAGCTTTTTATTTGAGCATATCATTGTTTTTCGTTTATAACCATCAACTGCATTATGTTCACCAGATATCAGTATAGTTCTTTCCATATAAAATTCTGTCTATTAAAGTATTAAATTTGCTGTCACACTTTTATTTTAAGCATTCTGTGCTATGTTCTGTTCAGTGTCAGTGTCTTTAGTTCTGATTTTTCAATTTTGTCCCTCTCCTTTTCCTTGACTTGTTAGTCTGATCCAACCTCTTCTACCTCATCTGATGATTATCAATATGTTATGGAAGCTAAACTACAAGAAATGATCTCCATACGTAGGAAGGTAGTCCTACTGGACTTTACTTTCTATTGCTAAATAGAATCCATCTAAGTTTTTTCTTTTCATTTATAAAAATTATGTTACTTTTATTTATTGATAATCGACCATCTGTGCAGTTCAGTGCTTCAGGAGCTTAAGATTGGACAGTGGCAGGTTTGTGTTCAAACCATGCACAGTCTGCATGTTACATTTGGCTGATTTCATTGCTCATAAATATATCCAATGTTTTGCTGATGCTTGGATGTAACAGGCCTTTGTAGCTGACACATTTCAAGCAATGCTGTTCAGCTGCCTGTTTAAAGAAAGTTTATTTTTTGAAAACTGTTTGCAGTTGGTAGTAGCTTGCTTTACATTTTATTTCAATTTATCTAGAAGAAAGAGTTAACCACATCTTACATTTCACGTGCATTCTTCATATTTCTCAACAGGCTGAAGAGAGACATGGAAATATTGAAGAACGTATGAGACATCTAGAAGGTCAACTTGAAGAGAAGAATCAAGAACTTCAAAGAGTATGTGCATCGATGAGCCACTCCCCACTATCTGTTTATAGATTTATAGGCTACATTTAAGAAGAAAAATTTTCTTGATTATGGGTTATATTTAGAATCTTTAGATGTGCTCTCTGAAATTTAAAGGAAAAAAAGTTTCTACCAATTTAATCAACATAGACAAAATTAAATCCAGTTTAAATCTAGCAAAGCTATAAAATCAAGCTTGAGCAGTTCTTAAATGATTTTCATATCAAATTAACTTTTTTTTTTTCTTTTTCTTGAATGTAAGGCTAGGCAAAGAGAGAAAATGAATGAGGAGCATAACAAAAGATTATCTGATACAGTGGACAGACTTCTGACTGAATCGAATGAACGCCTACAGCTACACTTAAAAGAAAGAATGGCTGCTCTGGAAGAGAAGGTAAAAGCACAGAAGAGTAGAATCTCACGAACATTTAGCAATGATTTGTGATCATGTTTGCTTGATGTGCTGCTGCAATCATCATATTAGCAAAATGATTCATTTGCTTTCCTTAATTTAAAGAATGCCTGAAATATTCTCAGAGGAGAATTAATCATTTCCGTAAACAATGATGATGAATTTTTAAGTGATTAAAAAATGCTGCACGACATAAAAGTTTTTCACATTAGCATGTTTGTAAGAGGCAAATGTATTAACATGTGCTGTGCTCTCTTGATGAAATATTTTATTTATCTTTTCCTTGTATGTGAAAAAAGAATGATAAGAAAAAACTCAACACTTGGGAGATGGAGATCTGACTGTCAACAACTCATGTATCTCAAATGACTGATACCTACTACCAGTATAAAAATTGCAGTACAAGAGTCTGTATTGCAAACAGAACTTTTTTCAATATCATTGGAGGGCTTAAGAACCCAATATTTTCAAATGTATTGTTTCAAAAAAGGTGCATCTATCTGTGTAGTCTGCTATTTGATTCACAACTATGTGTCCCATTGATAGCTGGCAGTTACCAGACCAGCAAGAGTTATGTGAGATGATTGCCAATTCCAGAGCATAAACAAAGGTAGGGGCTAAAACCCAGGTGCATAAATCATTATGGAAACTAAGTTTGAATGCAAAAACTACTTTATCTTGACATTTTTCCTGACACTTAAAAAAATTAGGAAAAATGTTTCAATGAAACATTAATTTACCCACTAGAAAACCGTAAGGCGTGCTCCTTCCCATACAACTCCAAATACATGGCTGATATGGAATTAATACATTCTCAGTTGAATTTTACTCAATATTTTGAAGAGACTGCATTATTATTATTATTATTATTATTATTATTATTATTAATTATTATTATTATTATTTTGTGGTCCTGAGGAATAAACCCAGAGGTACTTTACCCCTGAGCTACATTCTCAAGCATTTTTCATTTTTCTATTTTGAGACTTTTTTCTATTTTGAGGTTCTCATCAAGTTGCTAAGGCTGGCCTTGAATTTGGAATCCTCCTGCCTCAATCTCCAAGTAGCTGGGAATTACAGGCATGCACCGCCATACCCAGCAACAATGCATTATTTTAAATCACGTTTTGTTGTACTAAAAGTACAAGACTTTTAACATAGTATTTTTGTGACAAAGATTCTTTTAATTATCTATGCAATTTATTTTCATTTCTTCACTACATGTAACATCAGTTATTAAATTTCTATAACTTTATTTTTATTTCTTTAATAAGATAACTATTATTAGAAATATGAAATGTATTGAAATAGAAGTCCAAAAAGTAAACTTTTAAAAATTTGACTTAATAATTTCTTCTTTCTTTCAAAACTGAAAATTAGTCTATCTGAATTCTTTAAAATATCCATGGCTAATATTTAGCATGTTACTCACTATTTCTCATTTGAAGAATTAACTAATTATATCTAATTTCTAATTTTAAATGTAGTATGACAAAATAAATTTTGTAGTAGGCAAAATAAATAGCTTAAAATGTAATACTTGTTCCATTTATCCATACAAATGTTGCAAAATAACATTTTCTACATAAATAATATATTTCTCAACAATGCTAAGGTATCAAATTTAAAGATTCCATTAATCTTCCATAGAAAACAAGAATAGATTCACCAAGGAAGGAATATAAGGAGATCTTTGAGTGTTAGAACATTAACCTACATATTTGAATATTTTCTACTTAATTTATTGCTAATTCTCTATTTTTATAGAATGTTTTAATTCAAGAATCCGAAACTTTCAGAAAGAATCTTGAAGAATCTTTACATGATAAGGTATTATGGATACGTTTTTTCCTTATTTTTCTACACTGATGAATGTTTTGTTGTATAATAAATTTGAAAATAAATAATTTTAGGATGTAATCTTTTGAAAACAATTTTAATGTTTATATTATACCTGTAGAGAAGTGCACAGGTATATATAGAGATCAAATTAGTTTTACTGTCCAAACACACTAAAAATCAGTACTCTGGAAGCTCCCTTCATGTTAGCTTATAGTCACTCCTCTTTCCTTAAAGAAAATCACTATCTTGCTTCTAACATTACAAAAGTGTCCTAGTTTTTGACTGCCTCAAATGAAATAAAAATATATGAACTAATTTGTATCTACTTTTGAGATATTGTTTATGCAGAAATATAAATACCAGTTATATATAATAATTGTACTAAGTTATATATTTGCCAACATGATCCTGGTTCCAAAGTAGGTGAAATTCGAATTGAAGAGCGAACACCCCTTTATAAACCATTGAGGATTCAGGGTAGCACATACCAAGCACCAAATGAACGTGGTGGATGAAGAGAGCTCTGGGTAGGAAAGATCCATACAAGGATGCTGTGGAGGATTCCTCAGGGAGGGTGGATTCCACTAAAGAATTAAGCAATGGTAGGACTGTGCTGCAAACCTTTCCAACACCATGCATGCAATGTGGTCTCTAGGTGCTTAGGAGGGGAAGTGAGGAGTGTGAGGCCTTAAATAAAAATGGACACAGCAGTTTGGAATCAATTATTTCTGTTGTAGGATATTGAGCATAAGATTAAGGACCAGATTGTGAAATCTTAAAAGCTGTAGTTGGTAACATGTCTTTTCATACTTTATTAATCTTAGTTAATTAAACTTGCTAATTGAAGAAGTGATCTATAATTTTGTGCTGAAAGAGAGATAAAAGGAATGGATGGAGACATGAGGGGAAGTAAGGAAATGAAAGAAAGGAAAGAACAGAGGCAGGGAAATAAATAGAAGAAAAGGGAGAGAGGGAGGAAGGAAGGAAGGAAAGGAGGGAAGGATCAAAGTTCTAGAAACAGTATTGTAATGCAGAAGGACTGGAAAACATGGAAGAACAAAGAAAAGACAGATCAATTCTACATGACACCATACATGCTAATTTAAAAATAATCATTTGGTCCCATAGTCAGGATGTTGACAGTCTCCTGATTGATAGGTATATTAGAGCAATATAATATGGCACATGAAGATAGCATCTAATTCCTTCTGAATGGTTGATATTGGCTATATAGAGGAGATATTATAGTAAGATTTCAAATACATATGGGATCTTGACAACTAGCAAGAGTAGGGCATTCAAGGTACAGGATAAAGCTTATGTAACATCACAGAAAAACCAATGATGGTTGATTAGATGAATCATCAGACCTTTGCTGTGAGTGGTATGTGTTTAGAGAACTAGGTTTGACCAGATTGTAAATTTTGGACTTGATCTTGTTATGCTGTGCAATGTTATTCAAAGCTCTGTGTGCTCCTGGCAAGATCCCCAGAACCCATTCCCCACCACCAACCCAAGCATTACAGCTTCCACAATCTGCCCAAGCAACCGACGTTATTAATGATTTTGAGCTTGCATTCTTGTTATGCCAGTCTTCAGAGAAGGTATTCCCAGGTCATACCTCATTTCTGTACTATCATACCCCATAGCTGAGCATATTCACTAATCTGACCATGTCTATAATTGCTCAGATTTCCACCCCACCAACTATAATCACAGTCCGTTTTGGAATATCCCTTGTATGCACAACCTCTTTTTTTTTATTTCTTCTTCATTATCCTTATCTTCAAAATTTGAAGTCCCTTGAGCTACCTTGTAGATTTTCCCTGTCAGCACCTTAAGTAAACCTGATCTCATGGACTGAAACACCACCTACAAGTTGAGCATTTTCTAATTTAGATTACCTACTGGTCATATCCCTGAGGGAGTTTGTATATTATAGTGCTAACTCAATATGTACACTTGGACACCTACATCTCTCAATTTAACATCTGAGTCTTCTACCACATCCTCCCCTATACACATAAGCCAAACACCAACACCACCTAACACACCTTCTCAGTTAATCACAAGTACAACTGCTTTTAGTAAATGAAGTTAGAAAACTTGGAGTTATTCTTAAACCCTGTTTTTATGTTTCACTCCATGTTCAATAATAGGCAAATTTTTAGTTCTGCCATCAAAAGCTAGTCAAATCTATCCATTCTCTCCCAAACCCATTCTTGTCCAAGCCATTCTATTCTAATAAATATTTTTTGAATATTGCCAATATTTTTTTTTCTTTTTTTTGGGGGGTGGGGTGGGGTAACAGGGATTGAACTCAGGAGCACTCAAACAGTGAGCCATATCCCCAGTCCTATTTTATATTTTATTTAGAGAAAGGGTCTCACTGAGTTGCTTAGTGTCTCACTTTTGCTGAAGCTGGCTTTGAACTCGTGATCCTCCTTCCTCAGCCTCTTGAGCCACTGGAATTATAGGCATGCACCACCGCACCCAGCTTAAAATTGCCAATAATCTTCTTTTTTTCCTATCTCCTATTTCTTTTCAACAGTCCTTTGCAGAGCTACCAGAAAAATCATACTTCTCTCAAAAATTCTACCTATCTCAAAGTAAATAAAAAACAGCTCCCTATCTCAATCAAAGTAAAATCCAAAGACCATCATATTGTTTACAATGCCTTTCAGAACTACCCTTTCTGAATCCCACAAAGGTAGTCTTCTATATCCACCCCATATACATCTTTCTCCTTAACCTCTCAAACCCATCCCGCTGGACACTTGTCCTCCAATTCATGAAATATTCTTCCAGTTAAGGGCAATTGCACCTGCTTCTCTTTCCAGCTGCAATGCCTTTCCTAAGATTTTCCCCTATTTTCTGTACTATCATACCCTTCTTTAGGTCTTTGCTCAAATATTTTATAAGAAAGCCATTTCATGACTCCATTTTCTTCCTAATAACATCCTATGCCCCTACACATCCCATTTGTTTAGTGTTTGTTTTGGGGGAAAAAATAAACATTTAGTGTGGTAAATTAAAGGAGGGCAAGAAGTCTGTCATTGTACTTCTATATCTTAAGAATTCAATGCATTTTTTTCTGAAAAATAATGAACAAATGAATTAATGAACTCAATAAGAAACTATTGGCTATTTTTAAGCAAAGCAATTATTTTACCATACATATGTTTAAAAATGATATGACCAGCCAAAGAATATGTAGGGAAAATACTGAAGCTGGCAAGATAACTCAAGAGAAAAGTCAGAAGAATCTGGAGTGAGATAGTGGTTTTGAATTATAAAGGCAGATAAAAGAAACATGGCGAAGGCCACATTTTGATTAAGAGTGTTGAGAAGAGAAGGATGAATCAAATGCAGACACTGGCCACTGAAACAGGAAAAGAGCCTTAGAAAATCTGAAAGATACATTTAAACATTTATAATAGTATAAAAGTTATAATCATTAATATAAAATTAAGTGGTTTTGTAGCATTTAACTAAGAAATATGACAACTTCTATCATAAATTTTCATACTGAAATATATAATTTTAACCAATGAACATTATCAGAAGTACAAATAATTGTACAAAATAAGCCAAAAATTGTGTTGTTAACTTTTCTATTGAAGTGACGATTGGTTTTTGCTAGTTCTTTTAATTCAACCTTTTCCTTTACCCACATGTCCATCAGTCCTCAGAGAATAGCAAAAATCTTTGCTTACTACATAAATGGTATCTTTTTTTTATTTTTGAAACAATTTTTTCTACTAGGTATTTGAAGTGATATTTCCATAACTGGTCATGATTTTAATATTTTTGTAAATTTGCAGAGATGAAAGACTAGTGAATGCCAGGTAATGTAGGTAACTTTTTATTAATTTCTATTATTTGTATTTTCATTACGAGAGGAAATTCAGGCATAATTTACTATCATGTTTAATAATCTTTAATATATTTATATATCAAAATATATTTGTCATTGTTCCCTTTAAAAAACATCAATTTTGGCTTATCATAATTGAGTGTTGGTAATATTGGCATATGATTATCATCTGAGTAACACTTTTTTAATTTTTAGGAAAGACTAGCAGAAGAAATTGAAAAGCTGAGAGCTGAACTTGACCAGTTGAAAATGAGAACTGGCTCTTTAATTGAACCCACAATATCAAGGTAAATATTCTATTATAAGTATATCTATAGTTCACTAAGAATCATTATCAATCTTCTCTGGTTTCATAACTCTAAACTAAAATAGATATTTCCTACTGCTCAATAGTCATTGCTGTCCTTTGACTCTTTGCTGACTTAATTTCTACATTCAAAAATAGCTTTTCTGATTTAGAATTTTTCTCTGTGAATATTGAATAAAATGAGCATTAATTCCTTTTGTATTCTGAATTCAATTATAGAAATAGAAATATATATTAAATGATTTTTTTTTCTTTTACTTTTTTTTTTTTGGTACTAGGGATTAAACTCAGGGGTAGTCAAGCACTGAACCAAATCCCCAGCCCTATTTTGTATTTTATTTAGAGACAGAGTATCTCTGAGTTGCTTATCACTTCCCATTGCTAAGGCTGGCTTTGAACTCACGATCCTCCTGCTTCAGCCTCCTGAGCCACTGGGATTACTATATACAGAGATTACAGTCCATTCTAAGAGAAGACACCAGTCCCTTTCTCTACATGTGTTCAATATGGAAACATGCAGAAGTATGTTCAAGGCTTAATGTGAGGGAACAAATATCAGTGACCATGGCCACTTAGCTTCTATTTTTTTTTTACAACCATGTGTAGTATTTACATGTCAGATTATTAATGTTTCTTTTTTTTATTGGTTGTTCAAAACATTACAAAGCTCTTGACATATCATATTTCATACATTAGACTCAAGTTGGTTATGAACTCCCAATTTTACCCCAAATACAGATTGCAGAATCACATCGGTTACACATCCACATTTTTACATAATGCCCTATTAGTAACTGTTGTATTCTGCTACCTTTCCTATCCTCTACTATCCCCCCTCCCCTCCCCTTCCATCTTCTCTCTCTACCCCATCTACTGTAATTCATTTCTCTCCTTGTTTATTTTCCCATTCCCCTCACAACCTCTTATATGTAATTTTGTATAACAATGAGGGTCTCCCTCCATTACCATGCAATTTCCCTTTTCTCTCCCTTTCCCTCCCACCTCATGTATCTGTTTAATGTTAATCTTTTCTTCCTGCTCTTCCTCCCTGCTCTGTTCTTAGTTGCTTTCATTATACCCAAGAAGACATTTGGTATTTGTTTTTTAGGGATTGGATAGCTTCACTAAGCATAATCTGCTCTAGTGCCATCCATTTCCCTGCAAATTCCATGATTTTGTCATTTTTTAGTGCTGCGTAATACTCCATGGTGTATAAATGCCACATTTTTTTATCCATTCATCTATTGAAGGGCATCTGGGTTGGTTCCACAGTCTAGCAATTGTGAATTGTGCTGCTATGAACATCGATGTAGCAGTATCCCTGTAGTACGCTCTTTTTAAGGTCCGAGAAGGGCAATAGCTGGATCAAATGGTGGTTCCATTCCCAGCTTTCCCAGGAATCTCCATACTGCTTTCCAAATTGGCCGCACCAGTTTGCAGTCCCACCAGCAATGTACAAGAGTACCCTTTTCCCCACATCCTCTCCAGCATTTGTTGTTGTTTGAATTCATAATGGCTGCCAATCTTACTGGAGTGAGATGGTATCTTAGGGTGGTTTTGATTTGCATTTCTCTGACTGCTAGAGATGGTGAGCATTTTTTCATGTACTTGTTGATTGATTGTATGTCCTCCTCTGAGAAGTGTCTGTTCAGGTCCTTGGCCCATTTGTTGATTGGGTTATTTGTTATCTTATTGTCTAATTTTTTGAGTTCTTTGAATACTCTGGATATTAAGGCTCTATCTGAAGTGTGAGGAGTAAAAATTTGTTCCCATGATGTAGGCTCCCTATTTACCTCTCTTATTGTTTCTCTTGCTGAGAAAAAAACTTTTCAGTTTAAGTAAGTCCCATTTGTTGATTCTTGTTATTAACTCTTATGCTATGGGTGTCCTATTAAGGAATTTGGAGCCCAACCCCACAATATGTATTTTGTTAAAGTAGTTACAAATTAAGAAGCAAGAACAAATTACATATATGAAATGAATTTATCCATACTCAGTTGTTTTCAATCACTACTTCATTGTAAAGAAAGAAGCAATGGGCTGACCCTTGGCTGAATAGTGACACAGGTTGATAGATAGATGGACATGTTAATAACTTACACACCGCTTTCTCTTATGCTTATGGCCTTTTATTTAAGTTGTAAGAAGCTCTATTCACTCATTTAATCCTCTATTTTGCTAGACAATGCAGAATAATACCAACTGTTTGCGAATTTGGCAACCACAGACTTCTAAGAGAACATTTTCATTAGTAGTGTGGCCAAAAAAAAAAAAAAATGGAGATCAAAAACAAACAAAAGAAAAATCTTTCTCGGTTTTCATAAACTTAGAGCCTCTATCCAATACACTGAAAGTTGTAGTTGTGCATTTCTAGTATTACCGGGTTGATTAATGTTTGGATATGACGTATCCACTATAAATCATGTTTACTTAATTTTCAATTTGATTGCTATAGAAATAGTAACTATTTGAGGGATGATTCCTTAGTTCATTTGCTCTAATTTCCCATTTGGCAAAACAAGGTCTCTCTTAAGCTAGGCTAGCATCTCCCACTGTTGTAAACATCCAGACTTCACCAAACCTTTTCAAATCTTGCCAGATATTCAGAAATGCTTGTTTTTATTCAAAAACAGAACTAAAAGGATGTGTAGTCAGTCAGTAGGAGCCCCAATTTCCACAGAATGCACAGCATTAAGTCTATTTCCTACTGATGTTGGAATTGTTATTTCATTTTATAGAACAACATGAAGTTGCTGTCATAATCATCATCATTATTGTGGCAATAAACTGAATTTGCTGTAAATCTATATGTGAATAATGTGCTGTAAGAACCTGTTCAGCACATTGATTACAGTGTACTTTATTACCATGTTTATTGAAAACCAGTGTGATGATATTTTCCAATTGGAATTTTCCAACTGTTTCATCTCTAAGCAAATTGTACTATCAACTGTGCTTACTAAAAGCATTTTCTTACTTCTTTTGTAATAATATTTTATGAATGATAACAAACTGTCCTAGTGGCACTCCCTATTTTATTTTTAACAAATAAGATGATTAACCTTGTATCAATCTTGTTTTAAGTATTTCATTGTTTCTCTAAATTGAAAAATAGAGAATGTATGAGTGAATGTCTCTGAAATTCTTAAAATTGGGAAGGTTCTGGGGCCCCAAAAGTTTTGAGATAAGTTGCTGATAAACATTTAAAACAAGTATGGTAATGAATGAGAAATACTGAGATATCCACTAAAGAGCAGAAACTACATAGAATTGTTCCATTTAATGCAATGGATCTTGATTATGAATGTTAACATGTTTCGTTGTACTATCACATTTGAAAATGATAATAAACAACAAGTTGAAAATGTATTCTAAAAGAAGAAAAATGGCCTTGACCTTCAGGGATGGTCCTGAGACTGGAACTTCTAATATAAACCTCTAAAGGGGCCTCATAAGCATGACAGTTCACCAGTTTCTTCTGAGGTTTATATCCTTCAGGGTTTAATGCTTTATTGCCAATTAAGCCGCAGTTATTTGCTGGTATGTTTAATTTTTAAGATTGGATACATGGCATATTTTTTTTCCATTTCTCCAGAACTCATCTAGACACCTCAGCTGAGTTGCGGTATTCAGTAGGATCCCTAGTGGACAGCCAGTCTGATTACAGAACAACTAAAGTAATAAGAAGAGCAAGGAGAGGCCGCGTGGGTGTGAGAAGAGATGAGCCAAAGGTTAATCACCATACTTCAAATCTTTGATCATTTTAATTTAAAAACATGATTCCATTTTGGATATTAACACTAAAACAATTGAATCTAATTTTATTCATTTCAAGCACAAAGTATGACATACTTTTAAATTTATAACTAACATAAAGCCTCTACTAGGTATCAGGAATTGAGCTAAGCATGTCTCATGTTCTTACCTGTAGGACATTAGGAAGTGAGTAATACTTTATATAATTTCAGACATAAAAATGTGGAAGCTCCGAAAGATTAACTGTTCAACTTCACACAAGTATTACTAGTGTTAAAGCTTGAGCCTATACTTACCCAGTTTCAAAAACCATGCACTATATATCTTTACACTATACTCCCAAACAAAAGAACTTAAGTTTTAAACAAGTAAGCAGTAGTGTTCATATTGTTAATTCAAATTAATCAAATATTTTAATGAAAATTACTATATTAAAAATGGTTGGAGGAAAATGTACAAAAACCACCCAAAGTGTTAATGAAAAACTGCCCTATGGGCCTTTTATTCTGTCAATAACTTAATTTAAACTTTTTTTTCAGTTGTAGGTGAACACAATACCTTTATTTTATCTATTTATTTTTATGTGGTGCTGAGGATCAAACCCAGTGACTCACCTATGCTAGGCAAATGCTCTACCATTGAGCAACAACCACAGCCCCAATAACTTAAAAATTTTAAGCTATGCTTTTTGTGTAAGTAATAAAGTTGAGCTTTATAGAAGATAATACTGTTCCTTAGTATCTGAAGTTGTGTTTATTCCCCCACTTTCATGTATTCAAAATACTATTCATTTTTCCTTATTTGTACACAGTTCCTTAATACCTTTTGGTTTTTAACTGCCACCAATATGCCATGTACAAATTCATTCATCATAGTAGGTATCCAATATCTATTGAATGTATGAATAAATACATAAACAAATAAAGACAAAATTAAGTTCATATCAGTTCTTTTCTCACTAGTATGTGACAATTCGTACTCTTTGAAACTAAAACAATCTGTAAAGTAAATGCTAATTCAGGTCCTCAATTCTTAATACTCTAAGAAATATCATGTGGTCCTCCATAAAGCTCCTGTTGCGTGATCACAACAATAAAAACTAACTTCTTAAAACAAAATACTCTAGGGCCTATCCCTTATGTCCAACCCCCTCATACCTTCAGATCACAGTTTGAAAACCATCTGCCTATTGGTTACTCAAAACTCTCTTTCAAGGGCAGGCTTCATTATATTAATTTACAAAAATATAAGCCATATAAAATAGCATGCCTTAGGTTTAAAAAATAAAGGTGTTCAAGTGACCAGAGTAGTGGAGATGAAATTAGCCCTTATGCAATATTCTATTAATGTTTTGTTAGCACCTATGTGAGTTCCAAAGAGAGAATTCTTATGTAATTTGTTATATAATATCAGTGGCCTCAGAGCAATGAGTATCAGAAATGCTAACTCTTGAGTACAAGAAAATAGTGATTGCTGTATTTAGAAATAGGCAAAGTGTTGGAAATGAATATACTTTACAGTAATTGTTACTATGAAAGGTTAGGGTTATGTGACTGGATTATCAATAACATGGAAGTTCACCATCTCTATTCCTATGAAAATGTTGATATTTATGCTGAAAATGAATACCTGTCATTATTTCAAATGTCAAAATAAATACATAAACAAAGGAAGACAAGATTAAGTTCATAAGGGATAGGCCCTAGAATATTTTTTTAAGAAGTTAGTTCTATTTTATAGAACCAATAAATTGAAAGGTGAATAGTTGGTCATGTTTTTCCCAGGTCAGCTCTAAAAGCTGGCATGCATTTGTTGGTATTTTTTATATTAGTACTTTAAAAATGAGCCAACTGATAAATATTCTCCATTGTTTGTGTACCATTTAGGTGAAATCACTTGGGGATCATGAATGGAACAGAACGCAACAAATAGGAGTACTAAGCAGCCACCCATTTGAAAGTGACACTGAAATGTCTGATATTGATGATGATGACAGAGAAACAATTTTTAGCTCAATGGATCTTCTCTCTCCAAGTGGTCATTCTGACGCCCAGACTCTAGCTATGATGCTTCAGGAACAATTGGATGCAATTAACAAAGAAATCCGGTGAGTTCAATTAGTACTGACCATTTGTTTCATGAGGATAGAAGACCTTAATACTACAGAAATGGATCTCAAATCAGAGACATTGATACTGGTCTTGGAAATCAGAATCAATCCTTGTTCCCCCGGTGCTGAAGATTAAACACAGAGAAATGCAAAGGCAAGAGTGGAAAGCAATTTTTTATTTAAGAAAAGGACAGGGACAGACTTCTCTGAAGAGAAGTGGGGCCCAAAGCTGGTTGTCCAGGGGAGTAGGTATGTGTTGCTCTTTTATTGACCCTGGAATCCCGACACCTTCTCTTTCTTCTCCATGTATGTGCCAGAGGGCAAGAAGAAGCAGCACAAGAGGTAATAGCTTGTGTTGGGAAGTGAGATCCTCAGAGGTGTTAGCTACCCTTGTCTTTTTTTTTTTTTTTTTGATAACCAGCACTCATCTTTGCAACCCCCATCATTCATTACCTATACTGACTGCCAGGCCTTCTGTCCCACCTCAGTTCCTTGAGAAGGGTGACATTTCCTGCATCCCCCAGGCCAGGCAGGGCTGCAGGCAGATTGCTTTTTGGCAAAGAAAGCATGAGTACAGTGGACTCATTTTATTGAATTACTTTCTTAATCTCATGTTCCCACCATCCTCATTTATTTATCCCCTTACAACATCACCTGGGCATCCACTGATCCAAATGTTCATTTTCTCAACATTCCCTGAGCATTTTGTGAATCTCTGTGTAACATTAGGACAACCCTTGTAAGGAGTATGCTTGACTCATATCAGACTATTAAGATAGGCAATATAATAGAATAGGTTAAAAGTAAAATTTCTCCAGTGAATTTTAAAGTACTTTTTAAATTAAAATATACCATTAAAGTGGACAATATTTGTAATAATAAGGTAAACAAGGTCATTTCATACTGCAGCAGACACTAAATATACAGCTCCCTTAAAAATATTTGGTGTTGGAATGAAATTAATTGATATTTATCAATATTAATCCATTATATTAGGGATGACATTTTTTAAAAGTTTATTAATGTTAATTACCTTTTAAAACACCATTTTTTAAAAATCCACCACCAATGAAGATGACTTAGTCCGCGTGGGCTACCATAACAAAACACCACAGGTTGAATGGTTTCAATAAACAGTTATTTTCTGATAGTTTTGGAGACCAGAAAGTCCAACATCAAGGTTCAGACAGAGTTCAGATTTTGGGGAAGGCTCTTTTTCAGCTTCCAGGAGAGGCAGATGAGGGGGAAACAGAGAGGGAGAAACAGAAAAAGAAAACCATTAACTTTACCAGATCAAGTTTTCACACTTATGAACTCTTTTAACTCTAATGCCCTTCTGATTGTTCCATGTCCACATACAGTTGGTCACATCTGGATTTAGGGCCAGGTGTGAATGAGTGTAGGTGGGACATAATTTTAACCCATGTCAGAACGTGTGCTGAATGAAGGTAGGATAGTGTGTTTTTCTCTGCCATAACTATAGAAAGTTTAAAAAAAGTAAATGCTTTTCAATAATAACTTATTAATAACAAAAATCAAATCCATTTAGTAATATACTACATGAAAATTTTATTGTTAATTTTAATGCTTGTATAGATTATAATTGGATTTAGTCATGCCTAAATTTGCTTTTCAATGTGGTTACTCTCACATTTTAAAATGAGACCCAATTCTTCCATAGACCTTCTGGACATTAAGGAATATTCCTTATATCTGTAAAAATAAAAGTTTCACACATTAATATTGAAGTTCATGGTAAAAAAAAAAATGCATCTTTTCAGACTTGTTCACAGCTCATTGATTCCCTTAAAAGAAGGAATCACATTGATCAATAAAAATCCCCTCCAATTTTTGGGAAGTATGTGGTACAAATTTCCTAAGTAAGTAAATAAGGATAAAATTAATTTGCATTCTTTGAACAAAAAGGTCTTAAAATATCCATCAGACTTAATATTATACCATAATAATATTAGGCTATAATATTATATCTCTTTATTATATTTTTATTCCAGAACCAATGAAACATGTGGGTGATATGTTCTAAAAGTGATTTATTTCATAGTATATAAGAAAAAAAATACTTTGATCACACAGCATCTTGATAATTGATGACTTCCATTATATAATTGAAATTGTACAAGTCAACATTTCAAATACTGAAAAAATAGTAGCACTATAATAATTTTAATGTTCATTTAACATAATGTTTATTTCTATGATGGCCAGTTCTTTTACTCTAAGTACCTTGACTAACACCAGTAAAAACCCAAATGTGGCAGGTATATTTGTTTTCTTTTGAATATATGAAACTATTCTTGTTTTTTTCAGTTGATGAGCAGGTGTTTCCTAATTTGAACATGCTCTCTACTGTTCTTTTTGGTTCTGATTAAGTCTATTGGCCTCCCTGTCACATCACCTCTTCCAATGTCACCCTACAGCATACTACAATTGCTCCTCACCTACAGGGCAATAATTTATATCTGGTTTCTTTGTAATATTTGAGTTCCAGAACTAATTTATCCCAGCACTGCAGTCATAACAGACTTTTTAAAAACTAAATGTGTTTATGTCCTCTTTTTCAAACTCTTCAATTTTTCTGAATATGAAGACCAACATCCTTAATATTGTCTATAGTGTCTTACCTGTCCCACCATTTTCTTATCACTCACCTGTCCTGCCTCTTGTCCCATTAGATATGACTTCTGATTCCTTGAATGTCCCATGGGCATTCTTTGGTTGTGGCTGTTTCTTTCTTCTGGAACATTCTCCCTGATCCACATCCTTTTGCCCTGATACTTCTTCCATTTTTATCCTTTCTCACCATGAATATCTCCACCACCACCAGGAAAGGTTTTATTATCAAGCACATCTTTTACATTCACTAGATTGTAATTTGTCTAAGAGCAAAAACTATGTCTGTTTTGCTCACTCTTATTTCTATGTCTTAGCACTGTGCTTGATATATGAAAAGTGCTCCCAAAATATTTGAAAATTATAAACAGAAAAAATGATGTAGAACATGAACTGAAAACACTCTGATGCTACATGAAATATACTCTGATGCTGCTTAGCTAATAGTTAAATCTACTGAATAGGTTTGAAATTGAGTATATAACCTTGTGATATTTATCTTCACCAAAAAAGTATATGTATTGATATATATATATCAAACACCCTCCCTAACAATCTGTTACCTCTCTGAAACTGGGATGGTAAATCTCTGCGGCAATCTTAGTCTATATTAACTAAAAGCATAGGTTCATATAGTTGCTTATTTGAAAGAATATTGAAAAATACATGAAATTTTATTACATAACAACTTTCAACAGAAATAGTCTCCTTGATATATACTGGTAAGCTGCTAACTCCAACCAGAATTTATCTCTGTTTATAGTCTTTCTTCTTTCAAGAACCAATTTAGTCATTTAAAAAAAGCATCTTTTCAGACTTGTTCACAGCTCATTGATTCCCATAAAAGAAGGAATCCAGGTAGTTCACAACCACTTACCACTACACTACTTTTCTTTTTCTTTTTTTTTAATTTTTTATTCTAATTTGTTATATATGACATCAGAATGCGTTACAATTCATATTACACATATAAAACACAATTTGTAATGCCTCTGATTGTATACAAAGTAGATTCACACCATTTGTGTCTTCATACCTGTTCTTAGAGTAATGATGTCCATCTCATTTCACCCTCATTTCTACCCCCATGCCCTCTCCTTCCCCTTCCACTCCTTTGGCTACTCTTGTGCTTGTCTTACTTTTGTAGGCTTTTTTTTTTTTTTTTCATTCTTCTGCATGGTTCCTGAGGAACACTCTAAGGGGAATCTAATTTGTTGTTATTGTTTTCTTTACTTTTCATATTTATATCAGGACTCCAAATATTAACAGATTGTCATTTAGTTTTTGAACAAACTGACCGCCTAGCTACAAATGATTTCCTATTGGATTAAGTTTTCATCTACCTCTTACTCAACATCCTTTAGGCTTGGCTCACCTTTACAATTAACAGAATTTCCAGAATAAATGATTAAAATTTATTTCTACAGCAGAAACATGTTGCCCCTTAACAAAAGAAATTTCTGCAGGAGCCATTTTTAAATAACAAGTACACTAGAAGTACAAAATGTCTTTTTTTTTTTTTTGGAGGGGAAGTTTTTCCTTTGGAGTATGTTTTATGTACTAATGATGTTGTACTATGCTATTTGATTAACTGTTACTAAATTGCATGTTATTTATTTAAAAGATGCTTAACTAAATAAGTATTAATGTTTTAAGAAGACTCTGGGTTTTATTTGGCTATATGATAATTATAAATTAACATTTATTAAAGATGCTATTAATTAAATTTTTCATTGGGTATAAGCTCAATGAAATGCTACTGATATCTGGATTTCTATGTGTTTTTAATTGTTACCTGAGTTCAGATATAATATTAGAATTAGTGGTAGACATTACCAGGTTGTAAGGTTTCAAAAGAGTTTTAACAGGTGGTAGTAGAAAATGGTCAAACTGAAAGTGGCTACGAATTAGATATCCTTTGAAATAAATGGTTTTCTAAACTGAGGTCAAGATGTTTCTAGCATTTACTAAGTTTGTACTGCCTATAGCAGAAAAATGAGATGTAAGTACTAGATTTGATATAAAATATTTGAAGTACTTTTTAATTGATTTTTATGTGAATTCTGGTTGTCATGATAGCAGCATATAATAGATCAAAATTAAACTGTATCTTTTAGGCTGATTCAGGAAGAAAAAGAATCTACAGAGTTACGTGCTGAAGAAATTGAGAATAGAGTGGCCAGTGTGAGCCTGGAGGGCCTGAATTTGGCTAGGGTCCACCCAGGTACCTCCATCACTGCCTCTGTTACAGCTTCATCACTGGCCAGTTCATCTCCCCCGAGTGGACACTCAACGCCAAAGCTCACCCCGAGAAGCCCAGCCAGAGAAATGGACAGGATGGGAGTCATGACACTGGTATGATGATGTGTGTAGAAATTTTGTCCCTGTTAAGATTAATGATGCATTAGCTAAGACGCCTTAGGTGTTTGCTCTCATCTAAGGACTTTTTTATGAATTTTATGGTTTGTTTCTTTTTTCCCACAACAACCCTATGTGGTAGGCATAATTACTAATTCACTACAAACTGTGGAGACGTTATCCAAACAGATGCTGCAATTTTCTTAAAGTCAATCTGTAAGCCTCGTGGACAGTCAGGGATCTGAATATCACATGAGAAAAGTGAATGGTTTAAATCAATAAGTGAATTTTTACTGATGTAATTTTGATGCAATGAATTTAGACTGGGTGGGCTTTTTTAATATAGAAAATAACAAAACACATAAATTATAATGGCTTCAATACAATTATAATGGCTTCAGAGCCACAAAAATAAATAGCACCAAGTTCTCATCTTTATCAGATGATGTCGGTTATTCTTTAGTTTTTTTTTTTCTCATTTATTTTTATATTCAGAGATAAAATGTGGAAGCCTAAACTAGGAAATCCGTGAAAAAAAAAATTAAGAAAAAATCAAAGTGCCACATGATAAAAGTATTATAGTAAGGCCTCTGTAAACTATGGTTGGAATGATTACGGAATACCAAGATGTTCAGTCATTCAGTTCTCATGAGAGCACTACCATCATGGAGCATGGTCTGACAGAAAGCAGAGGTAGCTGAAGCTTTGAGAAGATGAGTAAAATTGACCATATTCAGCACTGCTCATGAGTGGAGCTGGAACTTTCCTCAAATATATCTAACTCAAAAGCATAATTGTTGGGTTTTTTTGTTGTTGTTGTCATTTGGTTGGTGGATTGGTCTTGGTTTTTCCATATAGGGATTGAACCCAGGGGTGCTTAACCACTAAACCCACATCCCCAGCCCATTTTTATGTTTTATTTTAAGACAGAGTCTTGCTAAGTTGCTTACAGCTTCACTAAGTAGCTTAGTCTTGCTTTGAACTTGTGATCCTCCTGCCTCAGCCTGCTGAGCTGCTAGGATTACAGGTGTGTGCCACCATGCCTAGTTACCCTTGTTTCTTTTTTTTTTTTTTTGCTTTTTTTTAAAAATTCTGTAATTACCTAAAAATATTTGAAATGATAGCAATGAAAGATTAAAATATTTTGAACAATCTATAGAAGTAAAAGCATAAATACAGTAAATAGAGAAAAATTAGTGATATTACAGAAAGATATAAAGGATATGTACTGTTTGTGATCAGAAGGCTGCAAAGTACTATAAAAGTCCACAAAGCCCATATCTATGTATACAATTATATATTTATATATATGTGCACATATATATTTGAATAAAGAAATTCTATTCATTGTCTAAATTCCATCATTAAATATTTTGAAGCAATGTGTGATCTAGTTAATAAATTATGAAAATTATTTTTATTAGAATTAATTTATATAAATCTACATATATGTGTGTATATGGGTGTGCTTTTATTATATCTTTTTTCTCACCCTAGGGAGAACACTCTTACAAGCAAATATTTACTATTCAGAAAATTTTACTTCATCTTTAAAAATGTTTTTTACATATTGTATATACAAATATAGATGTTAGTTATATATATTAATTTAGGCATCTTTGTCCTCAATTTTACAGTTGAGTCTTCCATTTTGTGCTCATTACCAAAATTGACAATAATCCAATAATGACCAACAAATCAGAACTGACCTCTATACAGTACAATCTTGGAGTTCATATACTAAAGTATCCTAACTGGTACACCTATAAGCCACATTATAGTCAGCTTATTTTGGAAAACCAGGAAACATCTCTCTTATTTTATTAACTAAAATGTTATCATCTCTGCCTTGGTTTCTGAAAATGTAATATGTACTACATAATATTAATGACTGACTTATTATCAAAGCTACTATAAGAATTTTGGACAACAGAACCCAATTTAGTCAGCATTTGAGGCTGTTATACTTTGGTTGTTTCTGTACTAATATTTCCCTATATTTTTACAACATAGTTATTTTTCCCTTTAAGTATTTTTTAAAATATAAACATTGTAGCCCTTAATAATGCTATTTTTATAATAACAACTATTGCTATTAAAATTGTTTGGATTTTTTGTGCATATGAAAAATATGCCAGTGCTTTCATGCATTTCTTGAGTAGATAATCATAAATAAAAACCAGTAAGTGACCATTATTACACTACAATTAGAATTAAAAAAAATATTTATGGCATTTCCTGAAGTTTAAAGGAATCAAGAAATTTTCTTGAGTTTTTCTGTCAAGAAAGCAAGAAAGGAATTTTTAGAAGTCTTTGATATCCAATGAAGCCCTGTCACCAAATTTATATTCTTATAATGAAGGACAGTTAGGTTTTCTTTAGAAAATATTAATAGAAAAATAATTTCATTGGATATAATTCATGTTTGAATATTAAGAGGAAGACTAGAAATTTTATGGACAGAAAATAAGATACTGAAAAAAAACACCACGTTAATTACTGCTTGGCATGATACCTTGCCAACATTGCTTCTTAATCCTGATAATAAAGTGTACTTGTATTTACCTTTACCTCTTACCTCACACAAATCCATAGACAAGAATAATATGCTAACAATATCTAGACTACTCAATATGATAAAGTTAACATGTATTCTACTAACAACAAAAATAGAAAGCATAATGGAATAGTTTAGTAAAGATGGTTTTACTTACATATAAAAAATTAACAAAAATAGTAAATAAAGCTCACCTGGAGTTATAAAAAGGGAACTTTTTCTCTTTTAAATTCTGTACAAGAGCATTGACAAGAAAGCAGTATACCCTGTGGCATGTTATGCTGAGGCCAGAGCCTTTAGCATATATGGTGTGGGGAAGGTTGTTAGGATTCCAGGAAATTTAAGATCCTTCAGAGCAGAATACTTGTGCAAAGGACACCCAAAGTTCTTCATGGATAGAGCAATAGGGAGTTTATAAATTCTATATATGTGTATTAGATCTTCATTCTGGTCCATATTTTCTTGGATGGGTATAGTGTCATATTTTGTTTCTGACTAACTCACTCTTGCTAGATTGACTTCCTCTGTGCTTTATGTTCTCCACTGTGTGTGTCTCATATGCAATGCACACAATACAGGTAGACATGTCTGTGTCATGGAGACCTGCTCCTATCCATGAGAGGTTTCTTCTCTCAAGTAACCACCAAGGAGGATGAATATTTCTATAATAATTTAAAAAACCCACCTATTTAGAATAGCATGGAATAAAGAAAAGAAATGATAGATAAATTATAGATACTAGATACTATGTAAACTTGTAACATGGTTAATGGTAGTCATTAATTAGTTCTATTTTATGTTGCTTTTATTACTGCCAATCGCAGCCAAGTGATCTAAGGAAACATCGGAGAAAGGTACTGTAATTTTTACGTGGTTACTCATTGAATATTACTTTTTTATAAAAGCTTTAAAATAGTATTTCCCCCAAAGTGTTTTGTTAACATAAAAATATTGAAAGTATTTAAGAGTTATTAGTGTGTTGTGTAAATATGATCATAGGAAATAAGGTATCAAAAATAAGATAGTTTATGCTTTAGGAACAATGATTAGATTTATGAGGACTTGGTATCCTGATTTTCCACTGAATGCTTAAACTGCTGATGTTACAGTTAGATATTTTAATATCAATACTAAATAAATGATCATTGTTTTAAGATGTTTATTTCATTATTATTCATGAAAATTGAGGCAAACAGATCAGGAGGCAACTGCCAAAGAAAACATATTAGTTTTTCACATTACCGAAGAGAAGTGGGCATTCCATGTCCTCAGAAAGCACTGGGATTGGCAGGAGTGAGGAGAAAGCTTGAGCAGGGGCCTTTTTGAGGTCTCTTCCAGAAAGGGAAGGAAAAGCAGGGCAAGCAGGTTTAGGGCTGATGTTTATTTAAGTAGCTTAGGTTGGCTCTGGGTCTAGGGACTTCTCTGGTCTAGTGCCTGGAGCTGGGTAATTAGGGCAGAGGAATACTGCTCCTGGAGCTTGAGAACCAGCTTTAGGAGACAGTAGAGGGATCTGACTTGAGCGTTTGCATACGAAAGGCTCTCTTCCAGTATGTGGTTTGCTATCTCTAGGAATTAGTGAGCACTGGAAAGAGCAGTCTCTCCAGATGCAGAGCATCAAAGGATACAGAAAAACAGGAGATGAATAAAAACAATGCTTTCCTGCTCAGAATGAAATCAGGAGAATAAGTACAGGATATAGGAAGCAAAATAGATGCCAATTCTAACTCATAAAAGGGCTTCCTATAAGATAATTTAGGTCAGCATAGCTTTGAGTCACTAGATATCAGATGGAGAAGTTTCAAATACCCAAACTTGCTTTCCAGTGCATGAATCATTGTTCAGTATCTTCACGACAGAGTACTCAGTATATGCTGAAACTCCTGAAACCAAAGAACTTGGTCATCATCATCAAATCAAAGGAACCCATGTTGTACTTACATAGCTTAGATGAATGAAATTTTCTCTTCTTTTCCTGAGTTATTATCTATCTTCCTCCAGTGTTTTCTTGACACCACCAGCTGGTTCTCAATCATCAGATTTACCCTGGAGAGAGTCTTTATTACTCCTTGACTTCCTCCACCACTTTACAAATGAACTTTGTGACTATAGAAAGAAATCTGAAAAGGTGATGTAAAGGAATTGAGTGGGTGTAAGAAATAAATAAAGCTCAGAGAGAAGGTCTTGAATAGCAATGCAGTCTCACAGAATTAAAAGAGTAAAGTCGTGACTGGAAAGAAAGGTCATGGAGAGAACTAGAAACTAAAAATGGTTGAGTATCAGGGCAAGGAGTTACACAAGGGCTTCATTTAAACTTCACAACAATGCATTAAGATGAGTATTATCACTTCCATCTTATTGACTGATTCTGAAGCCTTTTACTTCCACCTTTTGTATACTGTGAGCTCTAAGTGTTATTTAGTGGAACAGTTTGTGCCTGATGTTTTTAAGAGCTGACGTTAGGAAGGGTATAGTTTGGCAGTGAGGAAAAAGGAGGGTATTTTATAACAAAGTGTTTCAGGAACAGAAGTCTGAAAGCACAAGTAATTGTGCTTAACAACAACAACAAAAAAAATTGTAGACAAGAATCGTTACATCACATAACTATGATAACACCAATACATATTAGGAAGAGTAATGAAACATGCTTAAAGTGTTTAGATGGGATGTGGATTTAGAAAGGATCTTCCATAGAAATGGCATCGTGTTGACAGCAGATTCTTCTGGTGGCCTTATGCTAGTTGCATGGAGATAGGGACTCACAGTAAGATGCCCACCTAAACTGAAGAGAGCAATCTGGCCTCTTGATAATGACAGACCTGATGAACAACTTCATTATGTTCCTCCAGTGCCTAGGGTTTTTATCATATATAAATAAGTTCATGTATAATACCATAACAGCTTCATGTAGAAACAAAGTATTTTCCCAGAATGCAGCTTTAAAATTTTTGTTTTAGCCTAAAACTGAGTCATACTGAGAAACATTTTTCATCAGATCTTCTAGAACTGTCTATATTTTAGCTGTTTTTTTTATATTCTTGATCTCTATATGATATGTATATTACATTAGTACCATTAAAAGTAAAGCATGTAAAATAATATTTCTTTAAAATTGACTAGATTGTTGGAAAGTTCTTTTTTTATTGCAATATATCTCTGACAAAACTGATGACATCCTGTATTGTTCTGATTTCTGAACTTTATTGTTCTTTAAAGAAATCCCTCTCATCCTGGCTGCTTTTGCTTTCTGTATCTTCCAATTTTCCTTTCACTAGTGGTGAAATGAAACAATTTGTAAGAATTATTTTCTTACCTTTTATTAGTATCTCTTGAAAAAGTTTTTCTTCTAAATTGCTAACCATTTTTTTTAAAAAAACTCTAAGAAGGCATTTTATTAAGTTGGCTAATCTAAAACACTTTATCTGGTAAAATTATATTTTGCCAACTTGTCTGCTCCTTTCAAAAATCCCCACTTAAAAGTGTCTTTGTTATGATAATCTGACTATGCATAATGCTTTTTTACTTTTGTAAATTTGCTCAAATATGTGCTAAATACCTTTTTGTAAAGAGCATATGCTCTGACATGATAAAATGAATTCCAGAATAACTTTTCCATGGTTATCATATATTAATCTATGGTATGTATTACTCTTTAAAAAATTCTTTGGTGTAATGGGTCCATGAGTTTTTTCTTTCTTTCTTTTTTTTTTTTTTTGAGTTTCTGGAAATTCTATGAGTTTTTAATTGTAGTGTCTTTACTTTCAAATAAGTATGAAAATCATCCTCTTTAAGAGTATAGATTGATCCATGTAAAACATGTTGCAAATATCTCTGTTAGAATTTCTCAATGCTGTGCCTGAATGGTTCTTCATTTGTATCTATTTCATTTGAAATTTAGAAATTATTCATTTTAATGTACTGTTTTTGCTTCTAGATTGCAGTTGTGGAAGAAGATGGTCGGGAGGATAAAGCAACAATTAAATGTGAGACTTCTCCTCCCCCTACACCCAGAGCCATCCGGATGACTCACACCCTCCCTTCTTCCTACCACAATGATGCCCGGAGGTAAGACAGTCTGAGCATACTGCCCATCGAATGCTCTTCCAAAAATGTCCCTTTTCCATCAGTACTGGCAAATAGACTGCTAGAAAATTTTTACTGAAAAAAAATAGATTTGAGTCATAATTCTGCATCAGGGTATTGTTGTGCTCCTTCTCCACGATATATCTTGTGAAATAACCAACTCTCTTTCTGAGATCAATTTTTGACTTTAAAATTAACATCTTTGCAATCTGGTTACTAGTCAATATGTGATAATAGCTTTGATTTTTAGCTATCCATTTCCTATTAAAATAGATTAGACTAGAGAAAGGACTGAGGAAAGATTCCAAAATACCAAAGGGATTCTAGGATAATATGATACATTGGATTGCAAGATAAGGTCTGAAAAGTCCATCACTGTGCCTTACTTACTTTTAGCAAGCAGGTATATGCACCCTGTGCATCTATAGTCAACCATGCTCCTCAGACAAATAGTTCTTAGGATAAAAACCACAAGTATTAAAGGCAAAGTTGTCTAGATATGAAAATATCTCCTTTGTCAAACCAACCCTTCATACTGTTGTATCCATATGCCTAAAACATTGCAAATGGATCTCTATAATAATTAATGCTGTATAAAAATCTGAGCGTGCCTTTTATTTCTTAATTGTATGTGTTTTTACTGTCTTATCAATTGCAGGACCTCTGGACATAAGTGTAATGACTTAATGATCAATGATTTAAGTAAGAATATCTTCTAAAAATATGTTTTATGACAAATACTTCTATAATCAGAGCTTTCTATCTTATAGGCATTTATTTTTTCTTATTTTCAGTTAATGTGGGGGTGAGAGCTTCAAAATATGTATTTCTTTTCCTGTCCAACAAAAGACATAATTATATTTAAACATATGAAAAGCAGTTGCTTTGGAGTGTGGAGAATATGAGCTGAAATTAAATTGGATGAATAAATAGTTAAAGAATGCATCATGGTATTTTCAAACTAACAACTGTAAAAACCTATGCAATATCTATTGAACTCTTTCCCTTGTGATAATGTCAAACTAGAAACAGAACTTGAACTTAAGACTAACTACTTCATAGTTATATCAGCCTGTCATTTACCTAAAATGCTGAGGCTTGAGAACTATAATTAAGAAAAAATATACAGGAATCACTAAGGTGTAAGATTTGTTGCTTCTAGACCCCAATCAGATGAATTTAGAGTAAATAAATTAGGTTCCAAACTAAAGAGAGAAAGTGATGGATAGAAGAAATTCCAGTAAAATCACAGGATGGAATAGCATATTTGATTGCATAATTAGGTAATTACCATTGGTCAGTATGTTTAACATTAGAAAAACAAATTCAGAAAAAGAAGTAGGTAACAGGTGCTAAATTCACAAAACCAAGCTGAATAATAGAAAGACATACAACAAGCAGTTATTATACCAGCCTGTGTTCACTGATTAGTTACATATTGTACTAAGAATAAAGAAGAAAAAGCCATTTGGAACAAAAGGGAATTTTTCTATTGAAAATTTGGAGATACAGAGCCTGGAGGCTGAGGAAACTACATTTCAATATCTTAAGAAACAGTGTAGGAAGAAAGGGAGAAAATAACATTCAAAGTCTACTTGTTCCTCCTTTTGTACATTTATAAAAGAAACAAGTCTTGTGTGCTTTATGGATATTGCATCAAAACAAGCAGTTTGTCCTCTTTTGTGTTTTGCAGTAGTTTAGCTGCCTCTCTTGAGCCAGAAAGCCTTGGGCTTGGCAGTGCCAATAGCAGCCAAGACTCTCTTCACAAAGCCCCCAAGAAGAAAGGAATCAAGTCTTCAATAGGACGTTTGTTTGGTAAAAAAGAAAAAGCACGACTTGGGCAGCTCCGTAAGTATAAATGTGTTTGAGTTTCCAATGCCACTTGTTTTGTCACTACAAATTGTCCACCTCCTTCCTTTTCTTTTTCTCTTTTCATGTCTTCTCTTGCTTACCTGACAAGTTTCTTATTTAATCAGATTTGTGAATCCAATTTAACTGAAGAATGCTTAATAAAAATTAAGGTGAAAGAATACTGCAAAACTTCCAGTACTTTTAAACTACGGTTAATAAAAAGAGCTAGATTATACTTACTGCTAATTCTTGTGACAGGCACAGTAACCCCATGAGGCAAGTGTTATCATTGTCATCCTTATTTATTGATGAGTAAATAATGTCTTCATAATTTGTAAAACTGAGATGTCCATTCTAATGCCAAGGTTTCAAAATCAGCTTCAAACCATTGGGTATACTGCCACTTAGAATATAGATGCGTATAAAAACTTAGTTATGTGAATTTAAAAGTTTTTTAAAGATTTTCTTTTTAAATAATTTTAAGTCAGAATAAGGATTTTAATATTTAGGTTATAAAATGTAAAGAACAAAATTTGTCTAAAGGTATCATGGCTTCCCATAATATACTCTATGGCATATGGATGAGGGAAGGGAGAAAGGAATACCACAGTAGTGACTGCACTAGAATGATGTATTTTCAGTGATTAATTAAATAAAAACACAGATTAGCACATTTGAAATGACCCTAAGTAAGTATGTATAATTATGAAAAGATAGACACACAGATACAAACATACATACTGTACATGAATAACACTCTAAAAATTAATGTGTGATATTTCTGAAATGATGCTGTGTATAATTGGCTCTTTTGGAGGGAATTCTTCCTATTCATTTATTTCTAGAGTTAAATTATTGAGAAAGGATTGAGCTTCTACTTCCAATGATAAGTGTTGAACAGAGTGATACAAATCTCTAAGTACTACCTTGAGCTTATTAAATGATTATTTACAAGCAATGCTCCAAATAAAAATAAAAAGCTTAATGTCCTGATCTAGTACCTAAAGAGCTTCTGAGTATGATATTCATGCTTGCAGATTTATGACTAATACAATTAAAAAATGCCTTTCCTGACTTCCATGGTGTGGAGGTGCAGAAAACATCAGAAGCTTTGGAAACTGATGTGCTACCAGCTGTGTGACTAAATGTTACTCAAGGAGAACTCAGGATTTCTCTTTTTACACACTGGGCTGTAAAAAATGTTACATAAATAAAGGAGAATCTAATTATTTTTATATAAAATATATATGCCAGACATTAAGATTTGTTTTATCTAATTTGAAAACTGATTATAGTCTTTAACAAATTATTTGTCACTTGCAATATATTGCAATATAATTCACAAATATAGCAATATTTATTTCACAAATATAGCAATCACTTCATTTACTCATATTTCAACATATATTTAGCTTAGGTTCTATAATTTATTTTTTCATTTAAAATGTATCCAAGTGACCTCGCTTGGATTCTTCTATTGTGATTTTATATTTAAATTTGATGAGGAATTACTAAATACAAATTAGGATATCCAAGATATAATTTAGAATCTAGAAAACACAGGGATGTCTATCAATCTAGTCTTTATTTTCTATTTTCAGATACTGTGTGCCATTTTTGTTTGTTTGTTTTGAACTCAGTGGCACTCAACCACTGAGGCATATCCACACTCCTTTTTATGTTTTATTTTGAGACAGGGTCTTCTAAGTTGCTGAGGCTAGCTTTGAACTTGCTATCTTCCTGCCTTAGTCTCCTGAATTGCTGGGAATAAAGGCATGCACCAAACTATGTGTCTGTAGATCAGAACAGATGGAATAAAATCAACCCCAATTACATCCTTATCAACAACCCCTCCTTGCCCCATTGTTGAGAACTAGCAGTAACTGTTTAGAATCACATCATAGACTTAGGAAGAATTCCAAGCTCTGAGCATTTCAAAGTTTTACTCCATAGAACAGCAGAAGGAGAACATAAATTGACAAGGATGTCAGGATCAAAACTATACCTATGAAGTTTTGTAGAAGCCAAAAAGAGGTTGAATCATCACACCTAGTAGGTATAAGCAAGCTCAAGGAAGCCATATCTGTACCAGAAGAAAACAGTTCATAGGCCCCACTGTTACTTTGGGCAAGGGATATGGATTTTAGTTCTACTTTTGTTCTCGAAGGTACATGTAGGTTGAAATAGATGGACCATCAAAACCTTTCAAGTCTAAGGAATAAAACCTGGTGCTGATGATTCATGAATTAGAAGAAACTACGGAATCATCTCCAGTGACTGTGACTTTAATGTCTGGATGGAGAAAATTCAAAGACACAGGAGCACTGCCAATATTACTTTCCCTACCAGTAAATATATCAATAGCAGATAAGAAAGAAGAGCATGGGAATTGATATGGTAGGAAGACGATGGTTTCAAAAAACCAATTTTGGAATTTTGAACCATATATTTTTTTAAACTAGGGATTGAACCCAGGGGTGCTCAGCCACTGACCCACATCCCGGCACTTTTTATTTTCATTTATTTTTTTTTTTAATTTTGAGACAGGGTCTCACTAAGTTGCTTAGGTAGTTGATACATTGCTGAAGCTGGTTTTAAACTTGTAATCCTGCTGCCTCAGCTTCCCAAGCCACTGGGATTGCAGTCATACACCACCAGGCCTGTCAGTGTTATCACTTTTAAAAGTTTAGTTACTAAGAGCAGAGAATTATAAATTTACTTGAGAATAATTATGATACATTAATTTGAATGAAATATGGTGGGTAGGAAGAAAACTGCATAAATAAAGCTATAGAAGTGTTTCCTTTGTTCCATCAGAGATGACAAACAACAAAGAAGTTTTTAGTAATTAACCTGGGAAAATATTTTGGAGAGGGGATGTTATTTGCCTTATATAATAATTTGAAAAGCAAGTGCAACAACATCAATTTTTGGTGTATTGTAACAGTCAAAATGACTATAAGGATAACATCTAATCATTGAGAATCAAATGCATGATGCACGTTGTCTATTTTTTACAAATGTGTTATTAGCAGAGGCAGTACAGATATGGAAATCCCCAAAACTAAAGGAAGCAACACATTGAAAAGCAATTACATAAAGCTAACAGAATCCAAACAAAATAATTTGCTCCAAAAAATTCTGATAGCATCCTGTCCCAATGGTTGGTTCATTCAAATCACAAAAGCAACATAGAAAAAGTTCTTGTAGTAATGTGTCTTTTGTAAATTTCATTCTATTGTTATCAGTGTGTTCTTGCTTATATCATTATCAGAAGTATTTATCAGAGTATAACATAACAGGGAATGGTAGAGACTAAAATGAGTCAGTGAGTCTTTGTTCTTTCTTTTTATACATTCAAAACCATTTTGTGTGTGTGTGTGTGTGTGTGTGTGTTATACAAGGGGGAGAAAGGATATAGATGAGCCAGTCTATCTTAATTCTAACTGAATTCGGCAGTTAAGTGTTCCTTCTAGCTTACTTGTGAATTTGGTTTTAGTCCTCCTACCCCACTTTATTTTTATTTACTATGTTTTTATATCAAAAATTATAGGATGAAAGATGTATAAACAGATTTGATAATCTCATTGAAAGGCATAAAGATAGCAGGTATGATACATACTTCTGCTTACCTCCTGGAGCATACATTCAGGTTGTATTTAAATGCTGTTAAAACTTAGAATGACCAATGGTTATAGCTTTCACCTTCCACTGATTTATGCATCCAGATGCAATGCACCTTTGATATTTCCATTAATGCTCAAACGTGCTCATATCTAATCTATATTATTAAGTTGTCATTTGATCCTACCACTTTCTCCAGCTATTGATGTGTCTTTCCCCTATCCTTAACATCCACAGGTACTATTTTTACTCCATAATCTGTCAATCACTTTACAACCTGCTACAGGATGAATTCCACACACATTACTACAAAAAACTCTAAAAATAAGTTCAGACTGAAATAACACGGAAGGTTGAGCTCAGAACAACAAAGGCTGGGTACATCAAGGCAACTCAAAAGGACAGTGACACAATCACATATTATGATAATATGAACAAAGCAGTATGTTTAAAATGGAAGTCCTTGCCTGAAACAGATTTTAAAACATATTGTTAAAAAAGTGTCAAGAGGAACACAACAAATGATAGATTTGTGCAAATGGTATAAATACATAAAATCAGTATCAGAAAGATCACCAGCCAAAATTAACTGACAACTGGAAAAACTTCCCAGACCAAAATGGAAATATTGTTTATTGTATGAAATAAAGGTTTACCTAATATAATTATAATATACAAATAAGCAGAACTATTTAAAAACCCTAATTTTTATCTCTGTCCCCTTACTTGTAAAGAACGAATTCACCTGGAAAAGAGGGTGATAACAGGAGGGTATTAAAGCCCAAGAGAGGTGAGCTGATTGTAAGGGTTAAAAAAATAACCATAGGTAATCCAAACTCATTTGTTTCTTTCTCATTTTGAGTGAGTGAACATGTGTTGAGCTACGGTTACATGTGAAGTACGAGTCACAGACTTTTGGAACGTAAGCTAAAGATGGCTGTTGACAAGGAGTTTCCGTTTAGTGAGAAGGATACTGTGTAAACATACACAATCTCTATATTTAAAACAAAACAAAAATTTCAGTATATTTCTGATCCAAAATTTTTCAGCTACATTATTATCCTGTCAGGACAACCAGGAACAGTGCATTTGAATCCTCTGATCTGTGATGATGCATAAGTGATCAAACTACCAACTAGATGGACTTTTAATTTTGTCTGAAGGCCTTAACCTATTTTGAAACAAATAAATTAAGCTATGTTAAAAATAGCCATGTCAGAATAAGCTCTCTTGTTTCTTTGACAAAGTTATTCAATAACAGAAAAGGAAAGGCAGCGGGCACACTGTGACTCAGTACATCCCTGCAGACAAGATGCCATAAAATGGAACAGTCAAGAGGGATACATAACAGGTTGAATAATCCTCACCCACAG